ACGTGTTATGTTAGTTTTGGTCTATCATCCTCCACTCTGCCAAAATCACCACTCTTGCAAAGATCTCGAGGCTGATGCAAATCATGTTTCTACTTCTAAAATCGTTATTCACTTGATGTATCTTCAATCGAACTCACTTCCACTTGGTAGTACATATTTTCATTCTCATATTTATTCATTATAGCGTCTCTTTAGGCATCTTCATTTCCGTTACTTTCGATCTTTTGAACATCTCATCCTTTATACACTTAGAACCAGTGGGTCTATCAACATAGTTGTCACCTCATATAATTCCTACAATGCTTCTCCATTTTGTCCCACAAATCTGATTCTAATAAATTACTTCATCTAAATCATTTAATTTAACGTACAATGCCAATCATCAAGATTCTTGAGATCTTTCTTTTTCGAAAGTCCACGAACGAGATCCTAATAGGTAACTTGTTTTTGCAATTTTGCAGCTCTGAGATATGGTATATTTCAGTTCTGACTCTGTTCATTGGAAATTTAGAAAATGCAGAAGTATCTGTTGATGCCTCGGCCGTATGGTGAGTAACATTCTATTTGTCAACTTCCTTCTATAAATTTATATGGCTATAATCTACAACAATCATGCTACATAGACATAATGGTTGACATAATGTCACATGACAACCTATCATTGGACTAATTAAAATAAAGTCAGATTTTTCATCCAATCACATCTTGTCAGTACTTATTATGTCAATCATTATGTCACATACTTTCTGGCAAAGTAGCATTATTCAATCTACAATACCATTTTCATGCAATCTTTTAGAAGAAATTATATGGAAATTAGCATAAAAAAATCTGTGTAAGACACTTATGCAAGACATCCTCATTCCTAATTCAGCACAAGTATTAGTTAAAGTATGTATACTAAACAAGTAATTAACCATGTCGTTAGTAGGGATGTTTACCTAATATCAATTATAGTGCATTATCTGATAATTGGTTGGTGAAGCGAACTTGTTTGGTTCTTCTTTTATCTTCTCTTTCTTTATATAAATAAATACAGAAGCTTTCAAAATAAGCTGGAAATGAAAGAAGAGAAGATAGTCACAGAATGCATATCATGAATAATCTATTAAAGAAAGAAGACTGTGTGAAAAAAGTTAAAAGTAGAGCGATTTCCCATTTTGTCCTTGACTCTTCTTAAAAAATTCCTCATAGTCGGATTTCAATCTACCATTGCATAATTTGCTTGCTACTGCAGTCTACCATTTCCTATTTCCCAAGTAATATTTCCTCGACCTCATAAAGGGGAATCAAATGTGATTCTGAATTACAATGTTATCAAACCAATATTATGAACTCAAAACCGTTTCTTTATTTTTCTACAAGTGGACTCGAGATTTTTAATTATTTATGTTTTAACACACTATAAGCTAATAATGATTTTAGCCACAGCAAGGAATAAAATAGTTCTTTTTTGGGACCGGTAAAACTATGAAGACAAAAAGAGAAGAAAAGAACAATAACATTTCAACCACATTTGAAGATCATTCTGCTGTCACTGTAATAGTTTATAACTAATTATTCATGTGACTTCCATTGTGCTTTGACTTTGCAGTACAAATGTATTGGGTTGGATCTCCATGGCGGGTCTTGGATTCCATGTAGCCACAAGGTGGGTAAAAATAACACATTGTCGAATATTGTGTGCCAAAAATGAGCCATTTATTTGCAACACTAAATCACCTTCATATTTCCTATGGTAGATTACCCCAATTTGGGACAAGTACCATTTCCCAAATACACAAGTTTTTAATTCTCACCCAACTTAAATGTGTGTGCAGTGTGAGGGTGTCGAATGAACTTGGTTCTAGGCACCCGGGAAGGGTAAAATTCTCAGTAATGGTGGCTGGGAGCACTTCTCTTCTTTTCGGTATCTTCATTGCTCTTGTCCTGATGGTCACCTCGAAGCAGTACCCTGCAATATTTTCAAACAATCCGGAAGTTATGCACCTTGTAGAAGAGCTAACGCCATTGCTAGGGATATGCATACTCTTTACAAATTTCCAATATACTCTCACTGGTATTTATCAATTTTCAACTCCTTTCAATGCTTATATCAGTTCTGAACTCGAATTCTGTCATTGTTATGCTTCGTCAAAGCTATAGGATTAATTATTAGAAATTGTAGGAGCCGCTATTGGGGCAGGGTGGCAAGTTCCAGTTGCCTGCATAAACGTTGCATGCTACTTCCTCCTAGGCATTCCTTTGGGAGTTTTAATGGGCTTCAAGTTCAAAATGGGCGTCAAGGTGACTAGTTCTACTCGTGTAATTTTGGTGTTACTTGTACTTGAGGACCATAACCAATCTCGGCCAACCATATTATCTGATATCTTCTAAAAGTCGAGGCCCTATTTTGTTGGCTATAAAATCTGATGATAAACAGTTCTGTTCTCCTTTACCAAATTCTTCTGTAGAATGGAACAACTAGTCATGTTAACTTGTATCTCCATTTTCGATTTGATATTCTTCAGGGACTTTGGTGTGGAATGTTGCTAGGTTTATGCCTACAATGCAGCGTATTACTCTACATGTTATGTGTCTCAAACTGGGAGAAAGAGGTATGTGATAAATAGTGATGATTATACGGTAGAATTGCCCGCATGCAGGAGCCAGAGCACTTTATAATCATTGTATAGCATCGATTACTAAAGAAAGGTGCTCTGTTATGCACATTGCAGGCTTATATCGCAAAAGAGAGAATAGAAGGATGGAGAGGTGAAACAGATGCTGAAGGAACTAGTAATAGTAAAACTTTAAGCAAAAGTGTGAGAGAACTTTGAACTTTCCCATGGAACATACGTTTCTCAGCTTTTCACAGAAGATTTACATTGGAAGTTCCAAGTATTTAATAAACATTGTAATCAATTTGACTCTTGTGGGCCAAACTGTAGAATTTGAGAAATTAATGTAATTTCATTTTTATTGATATCTTGAATGTGATTTACAGTAATCTATTTATTGATTACATAGGAGAAAAAAATTGCTAACAATAAGAAAAAATTCTCACCTAAGATATTCACCGATTTACAACTAACTTCCTGAAAATCTAGCAATATTTGTACCAATTGATTTGATAGACTTTCCAACACTCCCCTCAAAGACACCAAATTGAGTTTGAAAATTAAATTTATCAGAGCAAATCATCATTCTCAAGACTTGTATGGTACTTCATAATTGCATTTACATTGCATGCCAACTAAGCCAACCAAGAACTCGAAGCTGGTGAGAAAGAAAAACCATTATTCACCATGACCATCACAAGACCTCAAGTAGAAAAAGTAGCACTCAAAAATCCGTGGGATAACCCACGATCCACTTAAAGATGGAGCCAAAAAGTGGCCTAATAACAAGAAACTGGTGAACTGAGAGGCTAAGAAAATATTATGGAAATATATTTGATGGAAAAGTAAAAAGATTTTCTTTCAAGAAGGGATGCCAACAACATAATCACCAACAATCTCTTCCTTAACATAAAGGTTTTGTAACGAACCAATGACCCCAACTATGACATAGCAATAATAATAGAAGCAGTCACAGTAAACCTTAGAGGGTACAGGAAGGGGCTAACTTGCTCTAATTTAAAATCTCAAGGATCAAATTTAACTTTTTAGAAAGTTTAGGGGCTAATATGCAAGATTCCGAAATATCAAGGACCACCTTGCACAAATTTGAAACGTAAGGACTAACCTGTACAAACGAAAAAGTTCAAAGACTAACTTGCAATTGAATGAAAATATGAAAGAATCCAACAAGAACCACAATAACCAAATAACATGCAGCACCCAAGTAACCAATAGAAACTGCCCCCACAGCCCATGATTCACAACTTACGATGTCAGGCAAAAAAATAACAATTTAGGCAGAATTCTTTCAATAGCAAGTTTCTAAAAAATAGCAAGAAATATCCAGAAACAAAGTCTTCTGCACCCTGATACGAAAATTACAGCAGGAAGAACAAAATCGTGGTAGCAATAAAGATCCTAGGTTTGTAATTTTGTATTTTAGGGTTTGCAATTTGGGAATAAATTTAAAATCCTAATTTAAAGTGAGGTAGAGGGTAGAGGTTGTCAGAGCGATAAAGAGGTTAAAGGTGATATTGGCTGGAAAAGCTGCATAAGACCACGCTCTGAAAAAACGGAAACAATTGCAAGACTAATCCAAGGGAGTGTGAGTAGTTTCAAGACAGACCACCTTGCTGAGGATTATCTACAGATCAAAAAGGAAAACAGTAGTATTATCTTCATTCAATCCAGAAGCTTGGTGCAACAGATTTACAGGTTCGGCAGAAAAATTAGCATTCATCATATAGAGTTGAATTATGATAGAAGTCCACCTGCTTTCTTGAGATCCAACATCTGCATCAAAGCAAAACAGTGCTGTTCTCTATATGCATCAGAACACAAATTCTACATAAAGATGTTAAAGTGTCGAAAATGAAAATTCAAACTTCCATAGCCATTCACCAGAAATAGTTCCATTCCTGTTTAAGCACACGAAAGAACTAGGAATAGGAAGTCAAAAGAGCATTGAAACAGAACACATTCTTGGAGCTGATTTTCTGGGAAAGAAGAGTTTTTTTTTTTTCAACGGCAAAAGGATTGCAACACCAAATCACACTGTGAAAGAACGTACATTCTGTAGAGAAGCCAGAATGTTTCATTTAGCAAAAGCTACCATCCTCAAATTATTGCATTGATTAAGGCTCATTGGATCAACTACTACCATCCTTGAAAATTGCATATATAAAGGTTTGATGAAGAAATTAAAGTATTAGCATCAAGCATCAACATTTTCCATGGCGTATATTGTAACATATTCAGCACTGAAACAAGCCAGATATAAGATAGCAATATCAAACAACTCCAATAATCATTAATTGAACTCCGAAATGTGACAATATCCATACAAAATCCAAATCCAAAATAATTTATTTTAAAAAAAAACTCGAAATACCATAAACCCTAAGCAGTGAGTAAAACAGCCCCACCGGCCTCCTTAATTTTCTTCTCAGCAATTTTCGACACGAGCTTAGCCTTAACAACCACCGGTCGATTCTCCGGCAAAACTCCCTTGCCCAAAACCTTGAAGTACCCGAACTGCGTAACATCAATCACGGGCACTTTTTCGTTTGATGCTGCGTCTTTGGCTTCCTTGGGTACCATGGACCAGAGCTTGTCGATGTTGACAATTGGGCAATGGAACTTGTTGCGGAGCCTATGAAAGTAGCGCATCCCGACTTTGCCGAAATAACCTGGATGGTACTTGTCGAAGAGGATACGGTGGTGGTGCATACCTCCGGCGTTTCCACGGCCACTGGGATGCTTCCGGTGCTTTCCGATGCGGCCGTGGCCGGCGCTGACGTGCCCTCGCTTCTTCCTGTTCTTCCTGAAACGAGTCGTCATGGAGGCGGCTGAAATGAAAAACGAGGCTTCAGCCTTCAGAGCTTTAGTTTATAGGGTTAGGGGGAATACGAAATTACAAATTTGTCCTTGTGTTTTTTCATTGTTTAGGGGTTAGAGATGGAAGTTTGTAGAATAGACTAGGTGGATTAGGGTTAACCGATTTACCAAAATAGCACTAAAACTGGGAGGGAATTGTGAGCAATGGCCAGTTGGTTCAATCCAATTTTCACAATGGCCATTCACCAGATTAATCCCAAATACCCTCCATTTCAAATGAAGGAAAAAAGAGGGAAAAAAGGAGAAAAAAAAACTGTTACCGAAAAAGTCAAATCCAATGCTATTCACAATCATCATCTTCTACACATTTAATCACCGTTAGTTTTTGTTTTTATTGTTTAAATTTTATGATTTTTACGAATGGGTTCTTTGATTTTTACATTCAATCTTAATAAAATTTATGAATTTATGCTTTTAATATATGGTTTGAGATAGATGTATTGTTAGAATCAAGGTTACGATTATTTTGGTATTTTTTAGGATGGAACTCATCGAAAATGGCGAACACCGTTGTGTTCATGGCCGTCTAAAAACCAGGCGACCATACGTCTAGGCCCAAACGTCCAGACAATGGTTCGAGCGTTTAGGTCATTATAAGGGTATCTTCATCTTTTACATTTTGAGAAAACCATTGTAATGAATAAAAATAAGGTAGACTTATGTTGTAAATGGTAACTTTGACATTACCATTTTGAAAACACGACCCTAAAATTAGTTCTCTGTTTCTTAGTCAGGGCCACATGGGCCCCAGCCATCCAAGGATGTCATATGACACCCCTATTGGTATATAGCTATGTTTCGCAAGGATTAAATTTTAAATTTTAATTAAAATTAAAATCACAATAAATTTTAACTACTTATTTTATGGAATCCATAATTTTTCAATAACAAATTTCATCAACTTTATCAAAATCTATTAAAAATCTGATTTTAATTCCTATTAAACACGAGCAAAATAATGAGTGAATCATCTCCAACCATCCACGAGTCTGAAAGGGTTCGTCTAAAATACTTGGATTAATTCCTATTAAACACTAAAAATCTACGAGCCTGAAAGAGTTCATCTAAAATACTTGGATTAATTCCTATTGAACACTAAAAATCTACGAGTCTGAAAGAGTTCGTCTAAAATACTTGGATTGTTTTCTAAATTTGGAACCAAAATGGCACACACATGCATCGTTATTTCTAGTGAGCCTAAACTGAACCAATCGAACCCTATTATTTGATTGAGGTCAAAGTGGATCAATATCTATCTAAATTTTAATGCCCCAGTTAGAGTTGAACGTGTATTACACGTTATTTTAAAATATTTTATAAGTGTTGTAAAAGTAATATTCGATACATGTTGAGAGGATTCGATGAGTCTCAAACTAATTAAAGAAAATAAAATCTATGATAGAAATTTAGAGAAGACAATTATACTCTTAAAACTCAACTTCTATTATTCAAATTTGTTGTGATGATGAAATACTACAAATGAGAAATCTTTTTAGAATACATTTGACGTTTGCTACTTGTATATAAAAAAATGTACATAATGATTTACATAATATGATGTAGAAGAAAAAGATTTTTATGAAAAAGTTAATTGTGTTTTAAATTGACAAATGTTAGAGTGTTACGTGATATTATGTAATCCATTATGTAAATCTTAATGTACATGTAGTAAAGTCCATACATTTGATACATATGAATTAATTGATAATACATGAATTTAAACACCCATTAAAACTTTTAGATATATGAATAGAAATAAATTCAACTATAATAACTCTATATTCATGTAGATCAAGATTCATCAAATTCAAGATTCATCGAGTCTAAGATTAATGTGAATATTAATTAATTGAGAATTAATAATACGAAATTCATACATGACAAGAATTTTGTAGTATTTATTATATATTGAAAAGCGAAAAAGTCAAATATTATTAAAATAATTGAATTGTAATAGAGTTAAAATTGTCCAAAAAATAATTATGGTGATATTTAATATATTATAGATAACCTTGACCAGGACCTAAACATCTCAACGTATTCTATCACCACTAATTAAAATTGATTTCTCTTAAATTATGTAACTTTTTTATTTTAAATTTTGAAGAATAATCAAACTTTAATGTTCGGCTTAAAGTTAAACAAACAAAAATACAGAATTCTTTGTTATATTCAAGTCTCTTCCTAGACAATGAACGAAAACCCTCTTTCTTTATATTTTGTTTTCTCAATCTGAATCGAATCGAGTAAATTTTCAAAAATAATCACACAGCACTAAGGATTTTATCATATAGTATTTGAATTGATTATATGATACCGTAACTTTAGGCAAATTATTGTCAAACGTCCTCACGGGCTATAATGTTAAATCATTAATTGTTCGGTCGGTATCGAACAAATGACTAAAGTGAAATATCGACACTTCACATGGAACGACCTGAACCTATAACTATTTTGGATCATTGGAAGTATCCTAATTCAATTAAAGCTACTAAAAACCCGACCCTTCACTCCTTGGATGACTTTTGGTGTTTGGCCCACTTATTGGTTATTTATTGTTCTACTTTTGGGCATAATCCATTACCTAACCTAAAAACCTAATAAACTACTATAGATTGGCATCCCCTTTGCATTGTGTAATATAGGTTATTGCCCTAGACTCCATTTCTTAGAGAATATCGGATGATCCTTCTTGGCTTTGTGTTTGATGTTGCACTGTGTTCTTTTTCTCGTTTCTCTTAGCCTTTATGGCTACTGTGTGGCTACAATAACCTCTCATCTTGTGTCCTGTGTGGGTAATACACAAGCAACCAGAGTTGAGTGGAGGTTGTGGAGATTGGGTTATGACTTTGTGGTGTCAATCTCGGTGTTTATGATAAACCGAGCTCGTAAAGCTTTCGGTGGTCATTTTGGTATCAGAGCCATGGTGGTGTGTGAATTCCCGTGAAGATCCAACCAGAAATCGACAGAAAGACAAATTGAAAAATATGTCCAATTTTCTTCATAAAATCGAACTTGCAACCTTATTTTTTCAACCAAACAAGTGGCCGGTTGAAGAATCCAAAACCAAGGCAGGCTTTGCAGGCGGAAATGCAACCGACAGTGGTGCTCATAGTGGTGACGATTGCAGGTGGTGACAGCCTGTGGAGGCGTCCGGAATCGCCTGGAAGTTCTCTTCAAGCAGAATACTTCAAACATGATTTCTAACGATTTGGTTTTGTTAGTTTTCTGTTTCAGATTTACAGTGAAATCTGGACGTTTTACCCCTGTGCGTTTATAATTCGATTTTGTGCTCAATTGTTTATAGTGGTCCTAAAGTGGTAAATTCGCATATCTCGTTATTTACAAACTCAAATTGGTCCACTCTGATAAATTGGCTTATCTTGTTTAATTTCGAGTATTAACGCGTTATCGTGTGGGGTGACAATATGATTGTGGTTACCTTGTGAGGTAATCATTGCATGTGTTAGGAATTAGGAACTACATACATTTAATTGTTACGTGATTAAACTGTTCATTTTATAAAATTCAGCATATTGTCTCTGTAATATATTGTGCATGAAATTATTTGGTTGACATATCTCTTGTTGCACCGTTAATTTATTAGAATACCTAGACATTGTCCGTTTGAACATTCCCTTGATCTAAGATCGAGAATCTTACGAAACCCTGATAATTTAAAACGGTGTATACTGTTTTTGACCCTATGTCTACTTTGTATAGCTTGATTGTGATTTTGTGCATTTTTTTATTGATTATTAAAATGACAACTCGCAATTTTGATTTGAGAACTATTTAATGGAAAATGTGATTTTTCAATCTGGCAATAAAATATAAGAAGTATTCTGGTTCAACAAAATGTTTCAAAAGTCATTGATAACAATTTTCTTGTTGATTTTTCAAAAGAACAAAAAGAATAAGCGGTTGAGCTCGCTTATATTTCCAATCATTTTACACTTGTCCGATGTCGTACTGAGAAAAGTAGATAAACTGAAAATCACTAAAGAATTTTGAAAAAAATTGGAAGACTTGTATTTGCTCAAATCCATTCTGAACAATTTTTACTTATTTGAGCGTTTTTTCAGTTTTAAAATGGATCATTCAAAGGATCTTGATGACAAATTTAAACGTATTTAACAAACTTATTCAAGATATTGTTAACTGTGAATAGTCGGTGTCTGATACCTATAAAGCTATAATTCTGCTTAATTCCATACCTGATACATATAAGGAAGTTAATAATGTGATTAAGTACGGCAGGGACACTTTGGCGCTTGAAATTTTCATTGATTCCCTTATAAGTAAGAAGATTAGAGTTGAAAAACATGATAAGAAAAGTGGTGAGATTCACATGATGATGGATAGAACTCAATTTAGGCAAAACGGTCATGATGGCTTCCAGAGTAGTGGCGAGTCAAGTAGTAATGGGGGTAAAAAAGAAGGGACATGGTAGGTCTAGACCAAAATCTAGGACCAAGGTTAAGAAATACTGTATTTGTGAGAACACATGGCATTTTATGAAAGATTGCTATAAAGAGAAAGGTAAGCTAAATGGTAAGAAAAGAGATAAAGTAAATGTAATGTCTTCTATTTCCAATACTAATGATGGTGAGGCTTATATGATTTCAAGTTTTGTTGCTTATCCTGCTGAATTTAATTTAACTGTCAATTCTCGTTTACATGAGAAAATACTTGATTTAGGTGCATCTTTTCATGTGACATCACAAAATGACTGGTTTGAAATTTTACATGAATCAAATGATGTGCATGTTGTGTTATGTGACAATTCTACTTATACTATTGTTGGAATTGGTGATATTACTTTAAAGTTTGACACTGGTTTTTTGTATATTTTAAAAGATGTTAGATACATTCCTGAACTGTCTAGGAATTTAATTTCAGTAGGAAAATTTGAGAAAGTTGACTTCACTGGTAAAATTAGA